AACGCGATTTCAGACAAGAGAGGACATTATGGCTGCAATGACAGCCGAGTTAAATTCCATTTCGAAAGAGACTTTCTTTGAATGCTTCCAACAATGGCGGCACCGCTGGGAGAAGTGTGTGGAGTCCCAAGGAGACTACTTTGAGGTGATTAGGTTTCCAACGCTCCAGGTATGCCAGTTTTTATTCCCCGGCCAAAGGTCGGATACTTTTCTCACAGGCCTCGTATAGCTACACTTTTTCATAGTATGGTTTTAAAATTATTGTAAGATATACACATTTTCTTCTGACTAAATTATCTAATCTCACTAGTGATGTTGTCTTTACTTATGAACTTATTTTTGCTAAAGATAAATGCTGTAATTATTTTAGTAATAGAAAATGTAAATATTCTTGTTTGAAATTGTGAGTTGTTTTTTTAACTCTACATCCACTATAGAACCTGAATTTAAGTTTAAACTTTTTGTTTAAAGATTCGATTTAGTTTTGATACAGTATCAAATATGATGCAAAATGATCACATCTGGTCTGTGATCTATTCATATATATTAATTTTGGCATATATGAAGCCACTTAAATATCAGTCGTAAATGACTTTTCAAATACAATGGAAGCCTTAACTTTAGTTTACATATTGTAACTAAAACTACTGGAAAAGTATGTTAGTTACAGAAATTACTTTAAAATGTTTTGTGGTTACGTATATTGTTAATATAGTTCAAAGCGTTTAGTTTTGTCAAAATAGATCTGCAAAAAATATCTTGCAAAATAAAAACTTAATTAATTCACTGATTCAGTGGTAAGTCCAGTGACCACGCGAGTATGTACACTGTGCTTCTTTGCTTTGAATCATAAAGATTGTGTTTCACTTTGTATCATGTGTCCAGTCTGCTTAACCCCCTTAGCTTAAAACTCAGTTATTTAGCTAAATTAATATTTACTTCACAATTTTCGAGGGCGATTTTACTGTAATAAAGTGGGCCTATCTTATAATTGCACAGAAAGTGTTTAATCTGGGGATAGCGCATTACTAAAAACAAATGTTATACCAACTAAGTTAAAGGATTAGTCCGATAATTCATTAGATATTGCTAGTAAGCCACTTCTTAACAGCTCCAACTATGTACTACATTCTTTCTCTCTTACAATCAAAGCCTATCTTCAAGTTTTATCTCGATCAGAATCATAAAACAAACACTACTTTGGCGTCAGTTTCCCGTTGTAATTATTCTACGTTTGTTGTTGTTGTTGTTGTTGTTGTTTTGTAATTTCTTAATTTAAGTTTTAGCCTGAGATTCCTCAAACGACAAGCAAGTGCTCTACTAAATAGCCTTAAATGGTTAACCCGCTATTTTTGTTTAATAAGGCACTTTCCAACAACTACAAAATGCATAAAAAATAAAACCAATTCAATAACTTAAAGATATTATTTTATTTTGGTTAAAGAAGTGTGCTACTTTGCATAAACGTGGAATAACTGTTTTATTATAGAATATGTTGGTATATTTAGGAACTGATTATTTATTGTAAAGATTTGTTTTTAATAATACATTTCTTTTTAAGCATCTACCACCACTATACTTCAACCAGAAATTGATAGCTCAATGGCCAGACAACCAGTAGTCAATGGCACATTTAATTTAACCTGCTTGGTGAAAGTGGACCCAGAAACTTTGGTACTAATGAAGTGGGACTATCCTAATAAAAGTAAAAACGTTAGTATATTTTAATATTTTAGAATATAAAACTTATTTATATTAGAATTATATGAAATGAAATATGTTATTTTCCCTATAAATACATCATGTAAATTACTGAATTCAAATATAAAGAAAAACGTTAATACATGAGTAGTTATAACGCATATTTTCCTAAAATTAAAATCCCAATCTGAATTTAGATAGGGCTTGTTGGCAGTGGCGTAGCAAGGGTTCTCAGCACCTGGGGGCAAAGACACTTTTGGCGCCCCACCTCTGAAATGTTTTGATTATTTGTTTTGTGACTCATTACCCACTTAATGACAATAACGTAAAGAATTAATTACCGCCTTACACAGGCCTAAA